CATTAAAATCCATTGGTCTATCTTGCCCTTTAAAGGAACAGTTTTGTGATATCATGCATTGGTCATTTGGTGATATTGGTTTGCTGAATTATACAGATCTCCCAAATATTGTCATGTTTCATGATAGAGTATCAAAGATTTCACTTGTTCATATCACCAACTAGTCTTAGAAAAGTCTTTGAGTATGAGGAAGATGTCACTGGTGAATACAACTTTTCTAAAATTCTAATTTTTGCTTGAGGACTCAAATCTTATCATTGCCAACAAATAATGTCAGTTATTTTCCTGGAGGTGACTCACTCAGTTCATTTTTGAGAAAATGTGGGACAAATATTCAATATTCTGAAGGACCACAGTTTATCTGCCAGTTTTCTCTTAAGCCAAAATGGATTCCATGAAGAGTTGTTCAACTCGCAAGTTCTTTCTGTGTGCTCCCCATACAGTCATAACAGAATATTAAAAAGATATGTTCTTGAATGCTGAGATTAAGAAAATTAATAATTTTTACTGCCTTTATCAAGGATATTTTTAAGTGAAATTGGCTTTTTCCACTGAAAGTGCCTGGTGCTACTGCTTTGGATCATGTTATGTAAGCTTTAATATCTTAACGTTACTAAAACAGGTTTGACCATATGGCCTCCCCGCTCCCCTCTCCCTCTCCCCCCCCCCCCCCCCCCCCCCCCCCCCGCCTCTGTCCTCCCCCCACCCCCCCCTCCCCGCCCCGCACAAGACTCCTGGGGATTCCCCTGAGAGTGGATAACACTCTGAGAAACACTGGTGGACAAGATATAGGCTTTGAAAAATGAGTCAAACTTAGATAGGATAAGATAAGAAAGAGAAGACATATCAACACAGTAAAACGTAAGGTGTATCTAAGGGACCGTGGGCAGGATATAGGTTTGGTTCGAAGAGAGAAAAAAAGCAGAGACAGATAAAGCTGAAAAGATACTGTGAAAGGTCAGGCATGCCTCCGTGATGAACAATTAGTTCTAAACCAGACAGGGAGAGGCCAGGGTGAGTGGATTTTGGGTTTGTTTTTGAAAGTTGTAGCTTCAACTTATATAAAGATAAAGCTGGCCACATTTACATTTACTAGTTATAAAATGAAAACAATAGCATAGCTGCTTATAAGGAATATTTAGGGAATGAAAAAATACACATGTTGTCATAATACTTAAGCTACACAAAGGTGGTCCCCATTTCATTTGGGCAAATGAAGCCAAAAAGTAACTTCCCAAGGGATGTGACTTTCAGCTCTGATTTTGTAACCCTTCATATTGCCACCCATTATCTCAAGGCATTTGGGGACAGTCTGAAAATAAATTTATCAACCACATGTATATCTATATCTACATATCCCCTGCAGTCTTTGAAAAGAGGGCACACAATGGGGTCATATACACAAATAAATGTTAACTCTAAAGAGACTGCATAGTTGGAATATTTTCTTCCCTTCAAGAACTATTTTTTTTGTAATTCTCATTTGAGGATATTTTTTCCCATTGATTTTTAGAGAGAGTGAAAAGGAGGAATGGATGGAGGAAGGGAGGGAGAAACATCAATGTGAGTGGGACACAGCTAGGGGATGAAACTTGCAAATCAGGTACATGTTCTTGACTGGGAATTGAACCTGAGATCCTTTGGTGAGCAGGCGGGCGGATGCTCTAACCACTTAGCCACACTGATCAGAGCTCAAGAACGAATTTAAATAATAATAGGTTAAGCTGATTAATAGGAGTAGTATGTTAGCTGATAGAGATTTTGTTAAGACATAACATCTGAGGAAAACCAACATTTGAAAGTGACTGCTAAGCTTCATTAGAGTACTGATTAGATACAAAGACCTTTTAGTTCTTTTTACTTTTTTAATTTCTATTATTATTTTTTAAGTATTTTTATTGATTTCAGAGAGGAAGGTAGAGGGAGAGAGAGAGAGAAACATCAATGATGAGAGAGATTCATTGATCGGCTGCCTCCTGCACACCCCCAACTGGGGATCAAGCCCACAACCTGGGCTTTGGCCCTTGACTGGAATTGAACCCAGGACCTTATGGTCCACAGGCCAACGCTCTATCCACTGAGCCGAACCAGCCAGGGCTAGTTCTTATTTTTAAATAACAGATCAGTAAATGAAGGAGGAAAAGCAATTCGAAATCATAGTCTGACGACATCTTCTTTCACTCAAGAAAAGAAGGATGCTACACCACCATCTCAACATGGCTTGTTCTTCCAGCACTTGGACCTGGCTCCTTTAAATACCCACATTTTGTGATACACGCTGGCACACACACCAACACATACACACACATTCCTCTACCCTCCCTGTCTCATGGTATGCTTCTCTTCCCCAATGTAAATAAGTAAATTATCTGTTCAATTCGATGGTTGGAAACTTTTTTGTTGACATTTTAAAAGAAATTGTCAAAATTATTTCAAATTAATCCCAATAAGGAAGTTTTACTACATAATAAAAATGTTATTAAATACAGAATAAATCTTTATTATTTATTCATTTCTTGGTAGGGTAGGGGCCAGAGAGTATAATACAGTTCAAATAAAGTAGCTACCTGGCTTGACAAAAAATAAATACTTGCTAAAGATAGAAAATTATGAGCATTGAAAACAAACGGGCAAAACATCTTTTAAATTTCATAGATTTTGCATTTTAAAACGAAGTTCATCAGAAACTATGCTTTTTGTTTACATTGATACTTAACTGCATTTTGGCTTAAATTATAACTGGTAATAATTTATCCCTTTGTATAAAAAATAACATTCTATATTTTAGATTAAAATTGTACAATATTAAAAAGCTTATAAAGTAAATTGCAAACAAAACGTGAAGTCATATCTGTTTCTGACATTGGGAGTTATTACAATTACTATGTTATAAAACGGCATACAACCTGGCCAGAGTGGCTCAGTTGACTGTCCTGTGCACCAAAAGTTGCTGGTTCAATTCCTGGTCAGGGCACAAACCTGCATTGCGGGTTTGATCCTCGGTTGGGCACCGATGGAAGGCAACAGATCAATGTTTCTCTCTCACATCAATGTTTCACCTTCTCCAAGCATGTCCTCGAGTGAGGAATAAATAAACAAAATGCCGAACATCGGTAACATATCCAAGTTATAGGACAGTTATGATGAAATAAAGTATATTTTAAAATTAATAATCTAGTAAATTGGTTCTCTTGCATACAAAGCCAACATCACCATATGACTAATGTGCCCAATTCCATGGGGTTCTGAATGTGTGAATCTTGTTGCTGTGCTATTTTTTTTTTTGAAATAGGTGACTTCAACCCAAATCTTTCTGTTTCTGGACACTACAAAGATAAAATTTAAGAGAGTAAAACATTTTTATTGAAAGATAAGATCTATAAGCATATTCATAATACAAAAGTGTGAGTTTCTGCCATCAGGAGATTTGATTGGTTGCAAACTGACTGAGTTTTACTCATGTGCTAATGTGTCATGGCTAGGAAAAGGCTTTTAATGACCAGAAGGCTTTCTTCTTTGCTTTAATAGGGTGGCTGGATTAAGCACAAGACTAAGATGATTATAACTTTGCTTCAATTACTCTTTTTCAGCATGTCTTGTGTCAACAATTGAACTATCTATTAGACACAGGCAGTAAAGAGGCTTTGGCAGGTTAGAAAGCTCTCAGAATCTCTTGATGGTGGCTGGGAGCTGGTAATTCTGAGGTAACTGATTTCCTAAATGTGCTGCTATTGTAGGTTCTCAAGTCTCAGTAATGTCAAGAAGGAGCCCAACAGGCTATGCTCAGTCTCTCTGTTCATACATAGTATGTCACTCTGATCCTACCAGAAATATCAACAGGCTGCCTGAGAAAATATCTTTCTTGCTGTGCATTTTACTTGATTATAGTGTTTTAGGAATTAAAAGCTAGAAAGTAATGAAAAAACCAACAATGACCTGTCCACATTTGGATTTTTTCTTGGAATTTTAGGTGCACCAATATCTTAAATACATATATATATATATATAATGGTTATTTGCTAAAATAAAAAACCAGTAACTTCTGATATATATACAAACAAAAGGAGGAGAAAGGAGCTAAAACCTGAAATACATACTTACCATTATTGTACATAATATCACTTTAAGTTGGTAAGATCAGATCATTTACAGTATACCTACACTCCTGAAAACCCTTCAGTTAGTCACTGCTTACATGGCTTCTGCCACATCTGAATTGTGATCCTTTGCAACAACAGCTCTGACTGGACGAGGGGATGTATATATTCCTCAATGCCCTCTCTCCACTGGCCGGCTTTATTCTATTTAAATGCTGTGAATGAGGAATGTTTACACCAAGTGTATTAGCAGTCAGTAATGCTGAAGTTACTGATAAATGGCTATAGAATGGTATAAGACTGCTTAATTAAACTTTTGTTAAATAGAAGAGAGGCTGGCAAGGAAGAATTGAAGAACTTGCTTCTTTGCTTACAAAATGAAATGCCCATTATATCAAAAAGGGATAATTCCAAAACGTTAAAGCACATTATCTTCTTAAGTCCATTTGTCTTCGAAAATTTGTATAGCCATTAAATGAAATTTATTGTCTTTTCCCAAAGGGCATAATACTGCTATGTACCTTTACTTAAATATTATGAGGATTAATGGAAACTGCTCTCATGGATAGATTTGTCTGAATGAGAAAAGTCTGTATTATTTATTTAATCCAATCCTCACCTGAGGGGATATATATATATATATATATATATATATATATATATATATTTATTTATTTATTTTAATATATATATTTTATTGATTTTTTTTTTTTTTTTAGAGAGAAAGGGAGAGAGTGACATAGAGAGCTAGAAACGTCGATGAGAGAGAAACATCGACCAGCTGCCTCTTGTATACCCCCTACTGGGGATGTGCCCGAAACCAATGAACATGCCCTTGACCAGAATCGAACCTGGGACCTTTCAGTCCACAGACCGACGCTCTACCGCTGAGCCAAACCGGTTTTCGGCCGAGGATATATTTTTTTAATTGGTTTTTAGAGAGAGGAAGGTGGGTGGGGAGAGAGAGAAAGAGACATCGAGGAGAGGAGAAACACTGATTGGATGCTTCCTGTACACAGTCCAACCTGGGACTGAACCCAGCCCACAACCTAGGTGCCCTGACTGGGAATCAAATCTGCAACCTTTTGGGTTATGGGATGATGTTCCAATCAACTGAGCCACCCGGCCAGGGCAAGAGTCTGCATTCTTAGTGTTTACCACAAACCCAACGCAGCTCATGGTCCGTCTGCAGGTCAGTCAGCTCCACCACAGTTCTCCAGCTGCACTGGCAGGCATACGCCCGCGCTCCTTTCTTCTTCACCAACTTTGTTTTTAATTTGTGGAATTCTGGCATGTTGTTCCTATTAGTGAAACATGAATGTTTTAGAACAGTGGCCTTTCCAGTGCTTAATGACTTTAAAAAAAAAAGAAAAAGCTAGTTGCTTTATTTCCCCATCTTTATTAACAACGGAACATTCAACAAACTTTGGTCCCCTTCACACAAACAACAGCACATATGCTTCCATGTTCTTCCTGATGGTATTTCCTAGCACTTTTCAATGGCATTTCTCTAGGCCTGTTTATTAAGGCTGTTTAGAACATAATGACCTAAAAGAAGCTGAAACATTATGATTTGTTTTATCAGAGATGACATGATATGAGAATACGGTGAATCACTTCTCTGACTCGTGGCTCAGAGTAAGTGAGAACAGAGTGAAAAGGTGGTGGTGCATCTCCTGCCGCAGATACTTGCTACATCAAATGCTAAAAGCCAACAACAACATGGCAAATGGAGGGAGGGGGTATAAGAGGCATAAAAGTAATATTCTTTTGATGAGTTAAGTACAGAAATTTTTAATTACTAGAGAAAAAGTGCCTGTTATGTCTATGTGTTGAACCTTTTGTTTTTAATGATATGCTATTCACTTATAGTGTCAGCAATAAAATAATACCTAACCTACATTAAGTGTCAGTGTTAAAATAATTAAATCAATTGGCGGGACCATCATGAAAATGATAACCATCTGATTGATGTAATTATAAAAAAAGACTAGAGAAGTTAATTTATGTTTAATTAATTGAAAGTAAATTATGATTTTTCAAGATAATCCATGTACTGAATCTATCTAATTATTCTATGGCAGAAGAAAAATAGGAACATTCAAAATAAAATTATAAATGAGAAGTAAAATGATGAAACACAGTATAAATATTACCAAAAAGAGATATAGTCCTATCTTTTTATGTCACTGCAGGAGAAGGCAGGCTACAAAGTGCCCTCTGGTGGCCGGTGGACACCACACTCAGTCCTGTTTTGTACAAAATCCAGGCACAATTTTGAAGGTTAGAACCTCACAAAACCTGAGAGATTTTCCAGGTCAACTGTCTGATTCAAGAAACTGAGACTTTGACCAGCTAAGTCTTAGCTAAGGTTATAGTGAGCCAGAGGAAGAAATGAATCGTCGTAAGTTTTATCAGAAAGAAAAAAAAAAGTCCACAAAACTCTATGTGTTTAATGAAAACTAAAAAGTTAAATGAAGAAAAAAAGTTTTTTTATCCAATATGCAATATAGTTTGACAAATTTAACATCTGATACCTGATTGAATTAAAAAAAAAGTTTTTAAAATTGATTTTTAGAGAGAGAGGGAAAGAGGGAGGAAGTGAGGGAGAGAGAGAGAAATATGTGAGAGAGAGACATCAATTGGTTGCCTACTGTACTAACCTGATTGCGGATCAAACCTACAACCTGAATATGTTCCCTGACCAAGAATCGAACCCGAGACCTCTAGGTGCACTGGATGATGCTCCAATACTGCGCCCCTCAGGCCAGAAAGGGACTGAATCCTTAGTTCGGGGTTTAGGAGAGCCAGAGCTCCGACTCCTGGGACAAAGGTAGTGGTTAGCAGCCGGGGGCCTCTGGCTGTGGCCACAGATCTGGGGGCTGCTGCTCACCTGGAATCTGATGTGGGGACAAATGATGTCAGAGGAAACAGAATCCAAAAGAGCCAACAAAAAGCCCTGCCTGGAGCCTTTCCCAGACGCCCGTTCTCGCTTTCCTGGTGTGAGCTGGGATGTTCCTGAGGATTCTCAGGGCTCTGAGCTCTCTCCAGAAGGGCTTCTGCTTTAATGCCCCAGACCTCACATTCCCCCACCCCCTGCCTCTGACAGTGATTGGCAGTGCCTGTGCCTGACCCTGTGTAAAAATAAAGCTTCTCTTTCTCATTAACAAAACAAACAAACCAGCAAGCAAAGCCAGGCTACCACAGATCTAGAGTCCTTAACTGAGACGCTGCAAGTTCAAGTACCAACTAAATGACCAAAAAGCTCACTTAATGCCTCTGCTCACCCGTTTTGGTATTACACGCATTCTATTATTCTGTACAAATGGCTGGTGCGTCTTGGTGCCATGTGGGAATTATTAATCACTCTGTAGATGAACCAGAAGGAGTACCTACAGAGGAGTTAGAAAAGTCAGAAAAGGCTAAGCAGACCTGAAGTGAAAAGTTAACTTTTCCAATAAGGGATTAAAGGTAGGCCAACCTGACCTGGGATTTTGGGAGGTCACTAGGCTTTATTGGGATTGAGGAATGTGAAACCTCTTAAATTATATATATATATTTCTGTATATTTGTACATTTCCACTTACTTTTGTGTGTGGAGAAGATGCAAAATTTTCATAAGATTTTAAAAAACAGTTCTTGATGTGAAAAAATTTAAAAATGATTCCATTAGAGGAGACTCCTAGGGATTTACATGAGAATGGATGTGGGGAGAGTCTGGAAAACTCCTTTTTCTTCTGCTACGGGAGAGTGCTACAAGTATTATGATTACTTGTATCCGAAGAGACAGTCTTTGTCTAGGCACAGGTTAGGGAAGCCAAAAATGAATGATATGTGCGCTATTAATTTTTAACTCTTAATTTTTATTTAAAAAAGTGACTGCATAGTTTATTTTTATAACTTATCTTAAAAACATTAGGTTGTCAGATATATAAATTGCAAAAGTATGCGTAAGCCTATTTAAACTGCCAGGAGAGAGGCAGACATGTATCAACCTGAGATTTAGATCAAATGGTAAGGTGTCCCAGGAGGTGGAGAGCTTGTACAAATTAATGGGGAAGGGGAGTACTGAGGAAGTTGATGAAGCTAAAATCTTGTGGAGGAGGAAGGAATACTGTGGAAAGACAAAGCTGGGTGATGGGTAGAGGCTAGATCCTGGAGGGTCTGGGGTGCCATACTAAGGAATTCAGACATGATTCTGTAAGAAGTAGTGTTCTGGGTAGGAGAATGGCACATTCTTAGTTATGTTTTAATTTTCAACAAGGAAAATGTGGTCTGAAAGCACATACTAAAGGGAGAAAAGTCAGTGAGAAGGCTATATCTATATTCTTTAATATATATATTTCAGAGAGGTAGAAATATCAATGATGAGAATCATTGATCGGCTATCTCTTGGGGATCAAGCCTGCAACCTGGGCATATCAAGTCTCTTCCCCCCCCCCCCAGGAATTAAACCGTGACCTCCTGGTTCTTAGGTTGATGCTCAAGCATTGAGCCACACCAGGTGGGCAATATCTAGATTCTTGTCCAGAAGCAACTTGTTTTACCTAAGCTGATAGCAGACAGATGGAAAAAAGGAGATGGGTGAGAAGAATATTGAAGAGGCAGAGGCCACACAATCTGGCCAAGTCCACAAGAGACATTACAGCAAAATAGAAATATAACGTTACACTTGGTACATTTTCACAGTGAAATTCTTTAGAAGCATACCTGAAAAACAGATAATCGCATGATTTGTCCCACATATAGTCGTCGTAGCTTACTACCCAGAAATCACACGCTGTACAACGCAGATGGTCACATGATCTGTTTAGAGAAAAATAACTATACATTAAAGATTATTGGTATGTTTAAATATAAAAATGTGGTGATTTATTCATAGGACATACCATATATTACAAAGTACTGAGTTAACAACAAAAAAGTAAAGATTAAACTGATTGTAAATTTTTATACTAAAGGAATAATTATATACCTAAAATTTCAGGTTCAATTTCTATGCGTACCTATTTTATTAAGATCTTATACACCGATATATTTATGCACATATGCATATTGTACAGATAGAAGAGAAGGGAATCAGATGTGTAGATCTTTTAGTTCAATGGTTTTCAAGTTGTGCCCGAGGGAAGTCTTCCCTTAACTTCTTTAAGTTGCTTCCTTTCCTAATAAAATTTTCAAGAATGCCTTATCACAGAACTTGCCACATTATATCAAAATGAATGTCTCCTCTTAAGCTACATAAGTGCTAGGACAATATCCTACTTCTTTCTGTTTCCTCAGTGGTTGACATTAATGCATTCATCCACTCATTAAAAAACAGACAAAACAGGCAAAAGTAGGTTTATAGTGAGAACACAAAACTGTTTACTTTTATATTATTATTTACTAAGAATTGTATTTATTATTTTTCACATAAACAATCGTAAACCTAATTTGCTCCATTCTGTATTTACTGAAAGCCTACTATGTGCTAGTAAGATTTTATCCTCTTAAGAGCATAGATTCTAATGAGAAAAGAAGTAAACAGCACTCATCACAACGTTAGAAGATAAAAAATGCTTCAAATGAAATAGAGCAGGAAGAAACATTGAGAGGACTGGAGGGAGTGGGTTGCAATTTTAAATAGAGTGGGCTGCAAAGGTGTAGCTGAGCCATTTCAATGGAAGTGGGGTTACGAGAAAGGAGGGGAAAAAAGCAAAGAAGCAGTGAAGAGCAAAGCGATGATGCAGGAAAGAGGGCAGAACTGCTAGAACTACGCTTAGTGGATATCTGAGGAATTCAAATGCCACACAATTCTTAAAACTCACACACTACATGTAACTTTAGGAATAAAATGATAATAAATGACAAAACTTAGGAATTGCTGCAAACAATTTGATTTGTATAATAATTGTGACTTACTTTAAAGAATATTGTTTGCAATATTTAAAAGCTAGAATCAATATATATATATATATATATATATACATTTGATCACCTACAAATTAAAAGGAAATAAGAGTTTTTAAGATGCCAAGAACAGGAGCATTTGACATCTGGCTTCCCAGGGATGTCATCAGTTAGGTTCAAATAAACGCTTAGAGAAATTTTCAAAAAACAAACAAACAAGCACACAAAAAACAAACCCAATACAAAACAAAGTGAAAAATAGTGGGAGAAAACATTTCCAGAACAAGGTCCAATACTTACTTATACTTTTCAGATACTATTCAGAGTGTTTACAAATGACAAAGACAAAGCTTAAAAATATATTCAGTCTCACTAATACAGGTATTGTAGAATGGTAGTTAAGAGCGTAGACTCTGAACACAAATTGCCCAGGTTCAACTACTGATTCTACTACTTTCCAGCTGTGCAACTACAGCCAAGTAACTTAACGTCTCTCTGTAACTGTTTCCCTGTATGTAAAATGGGGATACTAATATTTTTTATACATCTTTTAGAATTACAATGAGGACCTAATGAGTTAATATTGTTAAAGTGCTTATAACAGTGCCTGTTTGTTTAAAAGGTAAAAATCTAACAAATAATTAAAATTTAAAGAAACAACAAAATACATTTTCAACCAAGTTCCTCAGATATTTCTGGTGGGTAGGTGAACTTTGGGATTATTTTAAAGTTAAAATTATCCTTTTCTGTTGCACTAGCAATTCCATTTTGGGAAAGCTATTGCATATAAATAAAAGCATCAACATAAGCATATATCTCAAGAATTTGCACTATAGTATTGTAGAAGTGGCAAAAAACAAGATACCACTTGGATACCTACCTAAAAGGGAAAAACAATGAATAACATACAGTATAGTTATACTATGGAATATTAGCTGATAAGGAGAATTAATTTTTCCACTGACCTAGAAAGATGCTGAAAACAAGGTGCACAGTAACATATATAGCATGACCCTATTTTTGTAAAACAACAAAAAATCCCTATAAAGGTGCTTATAAGGTAAGAACATGGAAAAGAATGTAGAGAGTAATATACTATCAAGCTCACACTGGCTGTCTCAGGAATGGTGGGAATGGAAGAAGGAAGGAGATTATTCTTCCCTTTATACATTTTTCAAGTTTGTTTTTATAAGGATACAATCCTTCTGTAATTAAAAAATAATAAAGTAAAAGCCAAATATTTTTCACTTATTTTCCTTGAAATTCAAATATGGTAACTTCAAGATTGCAATTTTTTTTTTTTTGGCTTACAGATTCCTTTGAGAATAAATGCTTTCTATGTCTAAAATTATGTTTAATCATAACAGTAACTAAACACTCAAAATCTATACAAGTTTCATAAGTCCATATTTTCTTTTAAACTGTGAGCAATTTATGAAGTTGTACTTGTATATATGGAAATTCAACACAATTATATTCGTACACATTTGAACTTGGATTTTGAATGTACAAAGGAAATGCAAAATGGTTCCCAAAGCTGCCATAATGTGCTTTCTTATGCATATGTAGTTTATTACATGATTGCACAGAGTGTTAACTTTAATGCCTTAATACATATGTGCAATTTGGCTGAATTATTGCTGTTGTGGGAACTATAATTTTGAATTTCCTGACGTTTTGTCTGTGTAAAATCTCAACCATAATGTTACATACAGCTTTTTAATTTAATTTAAAATTTAGTAGTTTATTCAAATCTATTCACACTACCACAGTTTCCTACAAACACTGTCCTTTGAGAAAAATAAAACTCACTTGCAGCTCAGAAATCATTCTGCTGCTACGATTCACTTTGTTAGATCATAATTAGTACCAGTCTATGCAATAATTCGGCCTTGCAAGTAGTTTAAAAAATAATTAGGAGTAAAATTCGATTTGGCTTGAAAATAACGTCTTAGTCTTATCTATGCCTTATTAATGCCACCACACTTCCTGCTACTACTCTTTCTCCTTTACCCACCAACGGGGTAAAAACCAAATCTTTACACTCTGAAATCATTAAGTATTACTTCTAAACCAGAACCCTACCCAGAAATCAAACAAAACACATGGAGAACAGGCAGAATAGACTCAATTTCACTTATGCCCTGGACATGTAAATCAGTGCATATATTCAGGGCTTAAAAATATTTATTGTCCATATCTACGTATAACTACAGCATACCTAAAATAAAGGAGTGGCCCAACCGGTGTGGCTCAGTGGTGGAGTGTGAACCTATGCACCCAGGAGGTCACACTTCAATTCCCAGTCAGGGCACATGCCTGGGCTGCAGGCTCGATTCCGTGTGTGTGTGTGTGTGTGTGTGTGTGTGTGTGTAGGCAGCCAATCAATGTTTCTCTTCCATCACTGATGTTTCTATCTTCCCCCCTTTCCCTTCCTCTCTGAAATCTATAAAAATATATTTAAAAATAATGTAATGATTCCAATGAAAGATAAATCTTCACTTTTCTTTTTCTAAAATATGGAGGCAATTGAATATGAAGGTGTCATCAACAGTTTTGTCCCTTTGTCCAGCCAATCAATAGGATGTTCATTATTTTGAAGATGTTTATGATGGAAATTTTCCAAATACGGCCCAATATAATCTTCTGCCCAGACCCTGTGGTTTTCAGTAAAATCCTGTCAGATCTACACAGTAGTCTAGGGACTCTTGATATTTGGACAGATGGAAAAGAACAGCAGCTGCAGAAGCAAAATCAGCCACGGTTCTCCACCCTTACAAATATTACCTGGCCTTCCACAAACCAGGTTACTAGAAAGCATAATGGAGCAGGACTCAGTTACACAGTTGAGTCCTTGCTTTGAGATACTCTATGTGACCTTGGGCAGGGCACATTACTTGGCAGTCATTCCTAAGTGTTCTCTTAGCCATTAAATTCACCGAATTTTGTCCATTCTAGATTCTCAACAGCTCAAATGGCGACACCTTTTCCCCACAGCCACTGCCACCACTCAGCTCACAGCTACCATCATCATCTCTTTCCTGGACCACTGTACAATACTGCCTGCTGACTGGGCTCCCTGTCTTGTCTCTCACCTTCCAATCTATTTTCTATTCAGCAGCTAAAATAACTTTCTTTAGAAACACAAATATGATTAGGTGACTCCACCTGCTAAAAATCAACCAACCAACCAACCAACCAACCAACCACCACTTGCTCTCGCTGCATCTCTGACCAACTTTTTCTCAAATCTTCAGAGGACCACAGGACCGCCAACAAACCGAATCTCCCTCGACAACCTCTCATTCTTCCCCCCACTCCCTGCGCTGTGGCTCCCCAGCTGCTCTTTGCTCCTCCAACACTCTTCCCAGCTCAGGGGTCATCTAACAGGGCACCCCCTCTGGCCCCAACGGTCCCCTCTGTCTGCTTAACTTCTACTCCTTTTTCATATTCTAGGCTGATTCGATGTTACATGCTTAGGGAAGAATTTTCCAACCCTTCATACTAACTGGGGTGCCAATGATCTATGCTTACAGTATTCGGTACTTTCCCTTCACATTGCAGAGCATGTGAAGATTAAACAGCTATTTTTGGAGTCATTTGTGTAAGTCCCTCTCCTCATCTAGACAAAGCTCATTGCGTGCGGCTTCTCGCGTGTCTCACCACCTGGCTTCCTCTGCCCAGAAGGAAAACGCAAGGCAGATGCTCCCTCTCCCAGGTCCCGTGGGAGCCACGCGGGGACTGGCGTGACCCAGGCCCTTCACGTGGGGCGCAGAGAAAGTGTCACCACAATGAGCAGCAGAACCACCATCACAGCTTTCAACTGAGATCACCTCAAAATAAAAAGATTTCAGTAATGTGCTCTTGGATTGGCTAAGAGAATATACTTAAAAAAAAATATATATATATATATATATATTATTGATTTTTGTACAGAGAGGAAGGGAGAGAGAGAGAGAGTTAGAAACATCGATGAGAGAGAGCCATCGATCAGCTGCCTCTTGCACACCTCCTACTGGGGATATGCCCGCAACCAAGGCACATGCCCTTGACCAGAATTGAACCCGGGACCCTTCAGTCCCCAAGCCGACGCTCTATCCATTGAGCCAAACCGATCTTGGCAAGAATATACTTCTGATTATGAAACGGATCGATGCCAAGATGACTGTTTTAAAAACAGGGTAGCCGATTGGAAAACCTCGTAAGAAAGTATATTTCTGACATCCCACCTCTGTGAAGTAGCTGTTCCAATTCCGCACGGAGCAGCGCTTCCACCAAGGTACACGGGGCTGCAACTAGATCCGGTCAGCCAACGGGAGAGAAAGAAGATCGCCAGGAAGAAATAGGAGACGTTAGTGTGGCTTTGTGAACTCCACAGTCTCATAATCAAATTGTCTCCTTTCCGGAGCAAGCCGACCATTTTAAAGAAGAGGCATTTATCCCGGGATCGCTGCTTTACTGGATGTATCCTGCATGTGCAGGAACCCTCCAAGAGCTAGAATGAGTCACAGGAAAACGTGTTTGCCAAATAACGTGAGGGACAAAGTAAATACTGAAGACTATAGCAGAACATTAATTTCAAGAAACTGTTCACACTTTCTTCCCCCCCCCCCCACCTGGCAGAAAATTATTTACAATAGCAATAATCTCTCATTCACGAAGAGGTCATAGACCACGGGAACACTCAAGATATTGCTATTGGTCTTTCTCCTGAAAGCCAGCTGGGCCTTTGTGGTTCAATGTCACTGTTGTTTAAGACAATAAAGTCTATAGACTATGCTCATAGTGTCTGCTCACCAGTGTGTGTAACTCACCGAAGCAATCTCAGCTTACCTTTTACCGAGGCCTTGAATGGAAGCTCTGACAGACGTGTTACCTGAAGATTTAGATTTTAATTTCTGTTAAAAAAACAAAACAATGAAAGGCCAAGAGTAACTTAGATAATTGTAACGTGAAAACTAATATTCTTTATTTTGTAACAAGAATATTTTTTAAATGACTTAAAATAAAAAAATTTGCATCACTTTAAAGTTTCTGCAATAAAAATAATGATCAAAACCTTTTTTCTTAAAGGCAAAAGGGAAGTCGACCTCCCTGAGGAATTTGCAAATTACTCTGCTTTTAGTCTAGGAAATTGATATACTGCCATTATTAGCGTGCTAAGATTTAGAGTCACTTTATAATTCTTCAATTAATACTAGAGTTCAATGATTTAATATGAAGGACCTTCTATTTAAAACCTCATCCTGGAAAAATTCAATTGAGGAAAGAAAAACCCCCACACACCTCAGACTCATTTTTAAAGACTGTGAATAGTACTCACCTGAACTAAAAATAAACTAACTAAACTCCTGGGTAACTTCAGGAATATTAATTTTGATCAAGTGGAAAGGTATCAGCCAATAGGCATTTGAGGTGACTGTAGACCTACCTAGCCTCAACCATACAGTGGTGCCTATATGGTTACCTAACATCGTCGTCATTAGCGGGCATTTATTAAGTGTTAACTGGTGTATCGTACCAAACAACATAAACCCACATACTAAGACCACCGCCAAGGAGAGGAAGTGAGATGGAGAAAAGGCAATTTAAACCATGCAGCAACATGGCTTCATTTGACCTAGTAGGTGAGGAAATTTAATGGAGGCAAAAATATTTCATTTCACTATTTCTTTAACTCTTCTATTTGATGTTAAACAGAACTGGGAAAATTTGGGGCACATGTCTCAAAAATAATCATGTGCAGGAGTCTCCTGTTTCTCCAAATGTGTCATGTACAGTCCAGGTTCATGCTTGTGACCGGGAGCTGGCGAACTGTGATGTGCACTGTGGTTTCTGGGCTCTTCTGTGGGCCTGAGAGCAGTTCAGAACCAGCGGAACGGGCCAGCGGTGGGGGAGGGAGTGGTGCTCTCCGGAGCATGACCTGGCCTCTGGGACGAGGTGGGCATGGACGGGCCGTGCGGACACTTCCTTTCCTTATCCAGGCGGTGCTTTGCATAGACCTGATCCCTTGCAGGCTAGAAAACTGGATATAACCACTTAAAAAAGCAGCATGCAGAAGAACGTAAAAGTTTATTTCCTCGTGATTGTTAAGAGTTACTTTTATTGCAAATTTGTATACCTTTTTTTGTTAATCCTCACCCAAGGATAATTTTTCCATTGAGTTTTACAGTGGAAGGGAGGGAGAGAGGATGAACCATTGATGATAGAGACACATTGATCGGCTGCCTCCCAGATTCGCTCCAACTGGGATGGGGAATTGAGGTGACGCTCTTACCACTGAATCCACTGGCCAGGGTTCAGATTTGTATATCTTAAAGCCAAGCCGGAGACATAGTTCCTTCTGCTTTTCAAATTCTCTGAACGGAAGAAATAGTGCCTCACATACAGATATGCATCTGTAAGTGTTTAATTATTAATTGCTCAGGTGATCAATGAATCCCAACAAGAACATTATGTAGTTTACTTTTTCTACTACTAATTAAATCAGCATAGCTATTTGGCACTTACGATGCATTCTTGTTCACAGACTATGCAACACCATTGCTATTGGGTTGACATGTAGGCCATTAGCTTATTATTATAATGAGGCCATCAGCTTATTAATAACCTTGGATTAATTGAAAATGTTAAATTTAGAGAAATAAAGATAAGATCTATATTAGCCATTTTATTCCTTGTCTGGTTAACAAATACATAGTTGGCCCATGTCCATAGCCTCAATACCAGCACAGCCTAGTGATTTTCAGCCCACTGTCTTGCTTTAATCTTCCCTACCCTTAAAAAACTTTGGTATTATATTTATCTTTTTAGATTTTTTTCTTTGTGGTCCTTGTAGCTTAAGATTTTCATTTGGTCTCTTTATTTAAAATCTAACAAATATGCCCTAGCCGGCGTGGCTCAGTGGATAGAGTATTGGCCTGTGGACTGAATGGTCACAGGTTCGATTCTGGTCAGGGCATGTGCCTGGGTTGCTGGCTTGATCCCCACTGGGGGGTGTGCAGGAGGCAGCTGATCAATGACTCTCTCTCATCATTGATGTTTCTATCTCTCTCTCCCTTCCTCTCTGAAATCAATAAAAATATATTAAAAAAACCCCTAACATATATATTTTATAATGACCAACATGATAAAAATTAAAAGTATATAAATGCTCATACACTACTGGTAAGAAGAATATAACTGACACAGCACTTTGGAAAACACTTTGGCAATGGGTAAAAAAATTGAAAATGAGCACACCTCATAATCTAGCAATTCCTCTTCAAGGTTTATACATCCTAGAGAAACTCCTGTACGTAAAAGAATAATGCCAAGATATCTGAAGAGGCATTTTTTGTAAGAGCGACAACTGGGCATAATTTAAATGTCCATTACCAGGACAGTGGGTAAACTGTGGAAGAATTACTTAACAAGGTATTATTCAGCAATGAAAATGACTTTTGGTTAATACCTATGTAATAAAAGTATACAAGTATGGGCAGAAAGGTTGGTTACCTCTGGGTAGGAAGGCAGTAAGTAGGATTTGGAGTTTTTTAAACTATAGTTATAATTTTTATTTAAAAAATTAAAGCAAAGCAAATATGGCAAAACATTAATATATGTTCAGTGTGAACATATTTTATGTTCATTGACGGTTATGTTATTTTATAAGCTTTTCATAAAGCTAATGTAGATACACAGGCAATTAAGGGTAAATATTTAAAATATTAACAATTTACTCATGGGTTATGGGATAACAGCAATAGCATTGCATCTGAGATGCTAAGCACGTTCCTGTGTGAAAGCTGTTTGTTTTCAGCCTTTCAGAAAAGTGTTCTTATAGAATCTATATACAGGTAACCAACTTCAACTATGAGTTGCCTTTTATTCTGGCAGCTTTTCTAATTTCGCATTCTTGCTGAGAAACGAATAGAAAAAAAATGAATAGAAATGAATAGAAAAAAAAACACACTGAGGGTTTCTAATATTTTATTTCTTCTACAACTCTGTGGAATAATTTATTTAGATGATAGTATTTCTCAGAATGCAAAGAACTATAGATACTTGTGCATTCTGTAAGTTTTCAGACTATTTTAAATATCTTAAAAATGGAAATATTGCATATTTATAACACTTGACTTACAAAGGATTTTTTATCAAAGTTGGGATCTTCAAATATTTCATTAATAAGACTGTCAAGATCATCTTCTTTTTTAAATCTTTCTGTTGATCTGAAAAATAAAACAAAACAGCTGAAGCTTAAGAACATATAAATTCAGCCAGTAACAGAAGAGTTTTATTTAAAGTCTATTATTAGAGTTGATAACAGGGATAAATGCGACATTAATTTTTTTTCTCGATGGACACAACCTAAGTTTGTTGACAAAAATGTAAGCTGTCAGTTACAAATTTACATACTTAAGACATTTAAAGCTATATATTATATTCAAGAAAAAGCTGGGCGCATAAACATCGACTGCTTATTTAAAGAGCAGTTGTTTCTGGTATCCAGATGTACCATGGCCATTTATTATTTGCAGAGCTATCATTTAAAGAGACGATTTCAGTATTTTAACTCATAAGGAAAAGATACAGGCTGCTTCACTATACAATGGACAGGGAATCTCCTGTTAATAAATTCATAATATAAATCAGTTCCTAACTTTTCGATATCAATTTTGGCTCAGGAAGATTTTTTGAATGTTTGACATTATAGATCCGGTAGGGATTGCATTTGGTATTATGTTTAGGCCTTGGCTGCTGTTGCATAATTTACCTTTACAACTACATTGTCAAGTGAAAAGAAGTTTTAAGACATGAAAACTGTTCTGGTTTGCTACAGCTTTTGTAAATTACTGAAAGATCTGATGTAGTAAGGTGAGATGGGGTGCTGCTAGAAGCAATACGGATGGAGTGTAGTAGTCTAAAAGGACCTGTAGCCAAAACCAGTTTGGCTCAGTGGATAGAGTGTCAGCCTGCAGACTGAAAGGTCCCAGGTTCGATTCCAGTCAAGGGCAGGCACCTTGGTTGCAGGCACATCTCTGATGGGGGTTGTGCAGGAGGCAGCTGATCGATGTTTCTGGCTCTAGAATCTATCCCTCTCCCTTCCTCTTTGTAAAAAAAAACAACAAACCAATAAAATATATATTTAAAAAAATGCTTATAAAAAAAATAAAAATAAAAGGACTTGGGTTTAGAGAGCACCCACCTTAGCAGCCCTTTCCATTTTTAAGCAGCCTGATGCCAAGACAGCCTACGCACTCTGCACCTAGTTCTCCTACAACAAACAGGCACTGGAAGGCTCTTTGATATATTCTCTCCATTCCCTGAAGGAACGAATAAAAAGAATGAAAGAAATCGCAAGTTGATCCTGCCGGGGGGACAGGGAAGGCAGAGGTGCTGGGAATGAGCACAAAAGGATCTCCTGCGTGTGTGTGATCGATGTGCCAATGAATGGGCGATACCTGCAGAGGCATCCAATCAGACGAACGTCAGCCCATTCAACGTGGTCCATTTTGCTGGCACTACACTTATTATTATTTTTTAGAATGCTGCTTAGTACTCAACTGCTTTTTAGAACTTCACGTTTCGGAACTTTGGAACCTTTTCAATGCATGTGTCTTCTGAGGGTGGATTTTTGTAAACAGATGTACGTCATTATTGTAAGGTGACCAGACACCCCGATGTTGAACAATGTGTCCCCGCGGCGTCTTAAAAAAGTCCTGATTTTCTTTGTTACTAGAAATCGGGGCTGTCCCGCCTGGTCACCTTACAGTAGAGGCCAGGCTGGCAAATTCGCTGACCGCGAAGGGGGGGACATACTCGCGGGAGTCAGGCACGTGCACAGCAAAGCAACCAGTGAAGGGGGGCGCCTTCGAGGGGTTACCGCTGCGGCTCCCTCGGAAGGGCAATCTCCTTCAGACACAACATTTGTGTGTGTGTGTTTGTTTTTTTTTGGTTGAGGTCGGGGCAGGAGACGAAGAAGGAAGTCCTCCTTTTAGGCCCACCCAGAAGGACAAGACTGGCCAATTCGAACGGTATAAGTGTTTCGGATCAAAAGCCAAACGGCTTGAGATCTTTCCCCCAAATTCTCCGAGCCAAATAAACACACACACAAGAAATCAGCTCGAAACTACAGAACGGAATGATTTTTCTTTTTTTCCCCTTTTTCTTTTGGCAACAATTGTTGCAAGGATGACTCTGCCTGGGGAATGGGGTCAAGAGGCAACAGGCTGACGTTCTGTTGGCGGGCGCCTCATCGGGGGTCACCGGGGGTCATCGCGGGTCACCGGGGGCCCAGAGCGGCCCCCCCTCTCCCCGCCGCCGTTAGGACCCGCGGCCTCGGGTCCGGGTGGGCCGGGCCGGGCCTGGGCGGAGTCAGGCCGGGCGCGCGGGGCCCGGAACCTCCCGCACACGGAGCGGGGGAGTGCGCGGCCCCAGGGGTGGGCGCTGAGAACCGGGGCCCGGACCGGGGGACGAGCGGGGTCCCAGGGAGGCTTCGGGGCTCGGAGCAGGCTTCCCCAGAAGCGCCCACCCGTCTGCTCCCCCCGGTAACCTGAGCTTCTCTTCCGCCTCCGCTCGGCTGCGGTCGTGGCCGAGGCCGCCGCCGCCGCCGCCGCCTCCGGGCCGCTCCGCCAGGCGCGGTCTCAGCGGGTCGGGTCGGCAGAACTTGGACTCCACCTCGTCCAAGAGCTCGTCCAGGTCCTTCGCCATCTTGAAACAAGGCTGTGTCTCCCTCCGCTCACCTCGGGGCCATCAGCCCCCACGGTTTCCAGGGGCAACGCGAGAACGCGAGAACGCGAGAACGCGCCGCGCGCACGCGCACGCGCCCCTCCGCTCCCGCTCCCCCCCCCCCCCCCCGCGCATGCGCGCGCGGTCCCCTGGCGGCGCCGGCGGGGCGCGGACCTGAGCTCCGTGTCCGCGCGCTGGTTCCCGTGGACGGAGGTCCGGGCGCCGCCTTCCTGCGCGACCTCGCGGCGCGTCGCTGTCGCTCGTTCCAGGTTGTGTCTGGCGCGTTTCGGGCCTGTCTCCCCCTCCTGGGTCCAGAGTGTCACTACACACACACACACACCGGCTCCCGAGCTCCTTCCTCCGCGCGCTTCCGGGCTTCCCCCTGGGGTCCCTGTGGTACTCCAAGCCGATCTTCCAGCCCTTGACCTAACTGCGGGGAAAATGGGGAAACTCTCCGAGAGGAAAACAAGCAATATTGTCAGCAAAAGTTCGGTTCCCGTAGTCGGCAGGATTCGAACCTGCGCGGGGAGACCCCAATGGATTTCTAGTCCATCGCCTTAACCACTCGGCCACGACTACCTCTGTTAATTTCAGCAGCGAAATCTATATGGAACCTATGCACGTGTCTGCCGCAGGGACGTTTGGATCACGGAAGAAGAACATGGTTAAAGAGGATGTTTGAGTGTCCCGGCTCTGATCATGTTAGCGTTTTGAAGGGACGCTTGGAGCATCTCCCCTCCAAACGTCTCCCTTCCTTCCATCAGAGAAACGGAGTCCATCTGTAAAGTCAGAGTTAGCAAACAGGAGAGAGGGAGGAGATCCCAGCACTGCTGTCCACTTTGCTTGCACAGCGATGGAGCCATTTCCAGGAGGAAATCCGGAACGTTGGGGTGGCTGACCGACCCTGGAGCTTCCCTTGCATGGCTCCCAGCTTCACCCCCCAACCTCGCTCTTAAACAAACAGCTCCCACAATTCTGTTTTCATCCACTAGGGTATTAAAATGCTATTTCCCCACCGATATAAATTCGTTATGTCCCACGAAAGTAGTTCCGTGAAAGCCCTGCTTTGAAAAGAGTAATGGGTGATAGCAAATGTAAGGTATTGGCACTTAATGGTATTCCTACGGTAAATACAGCACAAATGTGACCTGAACTTTAAATATTTCTGGGGTAGCAGAGAGACTGGCATCCTTGGAAACCGAGATAGTTTGATCCAGATGATTTAGTAGCGTCATTTATTGCGTTTGTTGTTTGTGGAAAACAACTTTAATGACCCTGAACAGCAACTGGCAGCAGTGTGCTGGAGCGCAAGGCACCTGCTTCTTAGAACCCACTGTTACACTTCCCCCACATTTGGGTGCCAGTTGTTGATGCAAACATTATTAACATTAAATTATATAAGCATAATAAAATTAACTATGAAAACAAAAATATTACCCCAACATCACTTTGGTCTAGTTACTTGATTGCATTTACTATAACTTATGCTGAGGTCATTTACATCTATTGTATCTGAAATACTGTGCATTGGTTTGCTGTTGTGAATCTCTTCTTAAGTTTCCATTCAGTGGTGTACTTGGGTAACTTGAAATCAGCCTTCATGGGTGCAGTGGTCGGCAAACTCATTAGTCAACAGAGCGGCAAACCGTGGCTCGAGAGCCGCAGTTTGCCGACTACTGCTCTAAGGAACTCGAAAATACAACAAAATATGGCTTTTTCTTCCTAAAAGCTGATGGTGAAACATTTACCGGCTTGCCATGTATGTTACCATCGACCACCCTGGAGGCAAAATTCCCAGGAGGCAAAACTCTCTTTACATGCAGGGTGCTCTGATTATTCTCCCGGCAGCTTTGTTTGAGTGACTAGCGTCCTGGGATATTGTATGATTGCTCACTCAATTTTTCAAAGTTGTTTTTTCCACTCTCCCCCCCCCCCCCAAGTTGCCTTGCCATGTGATTGTATTTGGAATTGTCCCCCAGCAGAAAGACAGGAATAAGCCACTTGATACTAAAGTTGCCCTTACCACCTGGTTCCAGGAAGAGTAATGAATAGTTGCCATCCAGTTTAATGGGCTTAAGTGAATGATTCGGTTTTTCTCTAGAAAAGATGAAATCTGGGATGGTCTGTGTCAGTACAGTTGACTGTTGGACAGCACAGGGATTAGGGGCACAGACCCCTATGCAGTGGAAAATCCTCTATACTTCTTTGGCAGCTTTTGGGCAAGATGGTGGAGAAGGTAAATGTTGTACCTGCACCCTCCCGCGACAACTCCAGAATTACAACTGAACTGCAGAGCCACCACCGTGGAGAACCACCTGAAGTCTAGCTGAACAGAGGTTCTCTAATTAAGAAGTCACATTGACACTTGGGAGGAAGGGCTGAGATGTGGAATGAGCAGGTTCCACTCAGCTGTGGAGGTTGCCCCTGACCCCCATCCCAGGTTTTCAGTGCCAGGAAGAGAGGTCCCCATACCTTCTGATGGTGAAAACCAGAGTAGATTGCAGTTGAGTGAAAAGGAGAATTGCTGGAGCCCCAAGTGTTCTTCTTAAAGGGCCTATGCACAGACTCACTTGCTGACAAACTCACTTGCCCTGAGGTCCAGTACTGGGGCAGCAGCTCAAAAAGCACCAGGGACATATGGGGAGGAACTGAATTGTCTGGCTCTAGGGCAAGGGTTGGAGGGGCAGCTTTTCCCCAGACACAAGTGCTTGCAGAAGCCATTGCTCCTTTACTGAGCCCTCCCTCTATAGGCACTGGTGAGGGCCATATCAGAGTCTCCATCAACCTGGCTAACACTGTTTGCCCCATCCTGATGATTCCCTGAGATCCCACCACACCACACCCCACCCCACCCAATGTTTGGGCCCATCCAAGCTACTCCCAGTGGTTATTTCATACAAATAGCCTGTCTTGGTTTATGCTGTGAACTTTCTTAAAATATTCCAAAGGTTCACAAACCCCAGACAAGCAACATCTCACCTCAGTGTGCCCCGTACCTCTTGCTGTGTGGCCTCAGGACAGCCTTTAGCAGGCAGCCAGCCTTGGTTTGCAGCTTGGCCTCTACCAGGAGCATCCAAGGCCAGCCGAAGTGGTAACCCATCTACAGATCACTTTGTATCACTTTGTTTATGCCCCAGGCAGGGCATAGGCCATGGCTGACCTTGGCCTGTACCTCCTGGATGCCGTGGGGCCAGCATTAAACCATGTTGGGGCACCACCCAACCACCTCCATGAATGAGACACTCAGAGGACAGACTTGGGCCCTGCCAGTGGCGCGCAGTGGTTAGAGCATCAGCCTGTGAACTGAAGGGTCCTAGATTCGGTTCCCAGTCAAGGGCAGGTACTTGGGTTATTGGTTTGATCCCTGACCCCGGGTTGTGCGTGTAGAAGGAAACCACTCAAGGTGTCTGTCTCACATCCATCTTTTTCTTTCTTCTCTCCCTTCTTTTCCCTTCTACTGGCTCTAAAGATCAAGGGGGAAAATGTCCTCAGGTGAGGTTTAGCAAAGAAACAAACAAAAAAGGAAAGACTTTGTGGGCACCACAGCCCTCCTGAAGTGAGTTCTGTTCCATAGGTTCAGCTTCTGCAGAGCAGCTCCTCCCTTATCGTCATGGCTGCTCTTTACAGCCAATTGGCGTGAGGGTCAGTTTCTGTCATTGATGTGCCAATGGCAATCAAAGCTCAACTACCTGGAGCACCTGCTTGGGTAACCTGGGAGGCTTTACCACTGGGCCTACAAGACATCTACTACATAAGGCCATGCTTCCAAGACTGGGAGAATGTAGCCACTCACTAATACATAGAAATAAACTAAGTTAGGAGACAAAGAAACATGTCCCAAATGAAAGAATAAGACAAAACTCCAGAAAAGAACTAAACAAAATGGAGACAAGCAACCTATCAGATGCAGAATTTAAAACGCTGGTCACAAGGATGATCAAGGGACCTAGAAGAAGAATAGGTCAACTCAGCGAGAACGTCAGCAAACATATAGGAAACAAAAATCGAGATAGAAAACAGAAAAAGGTCCAGTCAAAAATGAAGAGTACAGCCGAAGCCGGTTTGGCTCAGTGGTAGAGTGTCGGTCTGCGGACTGAAAGGTCCCAGGTTCGATTCCAGTCAAGGGCATGTACATTGGTTGTGGGCACATCCCCGGTAGGGGGTGTGCAAGAGGCAGCCAGTTGATGAGGCAGCCAGTTGATGTTTCTCTCTCATCGATGTTTCTAGCTCTCTATCTCCCTTCCTCTCTGTAAAAAAAAAAAAAAAAAAAAATCAATAAAATATATTAAAAAAAATGAAGAGTACAGCAACTGAAATGAAGAATACACTAGCAGTGGTTCTCCACCTTTCTAATGCTGCAGCCCTTTAATACAGTTCCTCATGCGGTGGTGACCCCCAACCGTAAAATTATTTTCGTTGTTACTTCATCACTGTAATTTTGCTACTGTAATGTTGAGATCCGCAGGTTGAGAACCGCTAGCAGGGTCGCCTAAGACCATCGGAAAACACAGATATCTACATTACGATTCATAGCAGTACCGAAATGACGGTGATGAAGTAGCAACGAAAATAATAATTTGACGGGGGGGGGGGGGTGTCACCACCACATGAGGAGCTGTATTCAAGGGTCACGGCATGAGAAAGGTGGAGAGCCCCTGAGTTAGAAGGTGTTGTACCCTCCTCCTGTCTCTTCACATAATAAATGGCAAGGCCTCTTTGAATTCCCATCCTTGTGGGTTTAATGTTCCCAGCCCTGCTTTTTCCCCCACTCCTGGGCAGTGATGGTTGTGTGAGAGGAGGCCTCCTCCCTCTTCCCCCACCCCAGGGTGGGGGGCAGCAGATGCTGTGGAAGAAGGGAGTAGCGCCCGGGCAGCTCTGGTTCTCTTAAGTGGTCCCTGAATCAGGCCTCGGTGTCATGTAGGTAAACGCAGTCCAGAGCACGCAGCATCTTTATTGGAATTTGTACATCCATCTTTCACAGCTGTGGAGAGTTTAGACTAATCACAACCCTCCCTGGGATTCTATCGTCTTCATCATTTGAAAGAGGATCAGGAGCCTGCAGGCCTGGAACGTCTTGAGAAAACTCTGGCCCCGAAATA